TTTTATTTCAAATGAAGAAAACATTTTAGAAACAGTGGTGAGGAGGACTGAATAACATTGTGAATGTACTCAATGCCACTAAATTTTACTCTTAAAAAAAAAAAAAAAGTTGTAGCGCCTGCGTGGCTCAGTCATTAAGCGTCTGCCTTCATGATCCCAGGGTCCTGGGATTGGCCCCGCATCGGGCTCCCTGCTCAGCGGGAAGCCTGCTTCTCCCTCTCCCACTCCCCATGCTTGTGTTCCCTCTCTCGCCGTGTCTCTCTCTGTCAAATAAACAAAATCTTAAAAAAAAAAAAAAAAGTTAAAATGACTTAAACTTAAAACCATAAAACTCCTAGAAGAAAACAGGCGAAAAACTTCATGGCATTAGACTTGGAAGTAACTTCTTGGATAAGACACCAAAAGCATAGGCAACAAAAGCAAAATCAGACAAAAGACAAAATGAACACTGAAAAGACAGGGGCAGAAGTGTTTTTGCACGTCATATATCTGATAAGAGATCAATATTCACAATGCATAAAACAACTACAACTCAACAAGAAAATCATATAACCTGATTTCAGACTTGGATAGATATTTCTGCAAAGATAATACACAAATATCCAACAACCGTATGAAAAGATGTTCAATTAACATCATTAATAAGAGAAATGCAAATCAAAACTACAATGAAGTAATGTATATAAATGTCCAATCACCATATTGCTTACATGAAACTAAAATAATATTGAACATGAACTACACGTCAATTTAAAAAAAATATCTCCTCACACCCCATTAGGATGGCTACTATTTAAATACGTACACATAAAATAACAAATGTTAGCAAAGATGTGGATACTGGAACCCTTGTGCACTGTTGGTGGGATTGTAAAGTGCAACCACTATGGAAAACACTATGAAGGTTCCTAAAAATTGAAAATAGAACTACTATACGATCCAGCAGTCCCAATTCTGGCTATTTTAAGAATTGAAAGAAGGGTCTCTAAGAGATATGTGCATACTCATTGCAGCACAAATCACAATGGTCAAAGGTAAAAACTACTCATGTCTATCAACAGATGAATGGATAAACAAAATGTGGTATATACATAAAATGGAGTATTAATCAGACTTTTTTTTTTTTTTTTAATAATCTCTACACCTAACATGGGGCTCCAACTCAAGATCAAGAGTCCCATGTTCCACTGAATGAGCCAGCCAGGTGCCCCAGTACTATTTGGCCTTTAAAAGTAAGGAAATCCTGTCACATACTACAACATGGATGAACCTTAAAGATATTATGGTAAGTGAAATAAGCCAGTTACAAAAAGCCAATACTATATAACTCCACTTACATGAGGTATCCACAAGCAGTCAAATTCATAAAACAGAAAACAGACTGGTGGTTACCAGGGGCTGGGGGTAGGAAGAAGAGGGGAGTTGTTGTTTAATGGGTATAAAGTTTCAGATTTCCAAGACGAAAAAGTTCTGATGATATGTTTCCCATCAATGGGAACGCACTTAATGCCACAAAACTACACAAAGATAGTTAAAATAGCAAGCTTTATGTTGTTTTTTAACATTAAAAAATGCAAATATATCAGGGTGCCTGCCTGGGTGGCTCAGTAGATGAAGGGTCTGCCTTCGGCTCAGGTCATGATCCCAGAGTCCTGGGATTGAGCCTGGCATCAGGCTCCCTGCTCAGCAGGGTGCCAGCTTCTCCCTCTCCCTCTGCCGCTCACCCTGCTTGTGCTCTCTTGCCTTCTCTTAAATAAATAAAATCTTTTTTAAAAATGCAAATACAAAAACTGATTTAAATGGCCAATTTTTGTTACAAATAATTTACAATTTTTTATTCATTTATTTTGGGGGGATGCAAAAAAGGTGGTTTTATTAAAGCACAGGGACAGGACCTGTGGGCAGAAAGAGCTGCCTTTACCACAATTTTTTAAAATTAATAAGGTAATAGAAAGCCCACTGAATTGTATGGTATGTGAACTGTATCTCAATAAAGCTGCTAAAAAAAAAAAAAAGCTGAGGAAATAGCTTACCTAAATCCTTAATTCCATGGCTTAGAAAGTGCAATTTGGAAAAAAAAAAAAAAAAAAGAGCAATTTGTTCAAAGTACCCTGAGCAGAGGTGACTCTGCTCCTACTATGCTCCTACTTCCTCCAACGTCTTCACCAGGGCCGCCAAGTGACAACTCTTCTCCCCCTTTGCAAGGCATACCATCACCTTCTAACCTCCGCTCCTTCCTTAGGTCCAGTCTCACAGGAAACTTCAACGGCAGTGTCATGGGGAGGGTGACAGAATTCAGAACTCACCACCAACATTTAGCAGGAGAGCCCAAATCTTTATTAAAAAAATATATATGTATATGTATTTTTTTTCATGGTAGACATATGATAAATGTTAGGTCTCTGCCCTTCCTTTCCTTCTCTTCTTCCATCCCAGCATATGTTTAAAAGAACAACTTTTCTGGGGCACTCTGGTGGCTCAGTCAGTTAAGCATGCGGCTCTTGGGGTGATGATATTGAGCCCGGCATCCGGCTCCACGCTCCGAGTGGAGTCCGCTTGTCCCTCTCCCTGTTCCTCCCCCTGCCGACACACGAAGGTGTTCTCATTCTAAAATAAGTAAGTAAAATCTTAAAAATAAAAAGAGCAACTTTTCTGTGCCTGTGCTGGACATCCAACTGGCCCACCTCACATGTGCTGGAGCTATTAAATCCACAGCACCATTTAAAATATATTTGTTTAAAAAAATAATAAATTAACTGTGTTTGTTAAACCATGCCTATCATATACTATTAAATCTTAAAAACACATCACAAAACTGTGTGTAGGATAAACTTATTATTTTGGTAAAATAATAAACATTTGTCTAGGATAAAAAAAGGACAAGATAAAGACCAAGGACTAACAATCACTTATGAGTGATGGGACTAAGGGTGAGTTTCTTCATTTCTTTTCTGTATTTTTTATAATGAATCTGTAGCTTCTGTAGTAAGAAAATTAAGTGAAAATCTTTAGAAAAATAAACACTCTGGCTCAAAATCTCACTGTCTGCCTCTTACACCACAGGCACTTTCACACATACTGCACTGAAGCTGAATTAGCACCCTAGGAGATAGACACTATTTCCTCCATTTTGCAGATGAGAATAAACTGAGGCTCAGAACAGTTAAGCGACTTGGTCAAGGTTGTATAGCTAGCAACTGACCAAGCAAGAATCATCAGGCCTTTTAACTTCAATCCCAGGGCCCTTCCCATTCCATCACATCTTAAAAGGCAATTTGCATTATTGCTAATACTGTTTGTTTTGTTTTGTTTTTTAAATCTATGATGGGACTCTTTTAAGAATACTTGCTATGTAACTGGGCAAGTAAATCACTTAACCTCTGGGGGCCTCAGTTTCCTCATCTGAAAAGCAAGGGTTGGAAAAGATATTTTATGTCTAACAGCCCCACATGCTAATGGATTTTAAGCCTAGATACCATCTAGCGTAAGAAAACCCTATGCACAAGAATGAAGGATTGGAGAAAAGTTGAGACCTATGCTCTGGGCCAAAGCCATTCTTAATGGAAACAGGTGGTGGACAGTCAAGAGGAAAAAAACCACTGGGGGAACCACAAACTTCCTGGTTAAAGCAACAGCTGAAAGCTCCAGCTCTGCTTTACTAACAGCAATGCTTCAATCTTGGCTAATTCATAATCAGAAACCACACACTGTAAGCAAAGCTAGAAGAGCATAAAAACTGGCATGCGGAGTGGGGGGGCTCTGGCAACAGTTTATGCATGCTATGGCAACTTCATCATCTTCCGAGTGGACCCATTAATGTTAAAACAAAAAGAAACCCTGTGTGCTTCTATGTGGAGACGCCTTCTTTCTCCCCAAGAATGTTAAGGAGAAGCTGAACTTGCATAGTCCTCTAAGAGACGCCACACTTGAGGAAAAAGGTGAAAGAATGCAATTAAAGCCTCTCCAATCTACCAAGAATCAAAGACAGCGAAAAAAGCGAAAAGACCTTTAAAAGATGAAGTTCCTGTAAAGGATTCGCTGAGTACCTGTAACCTCTTACACTGCAGACATTATAAAGCACTGCCGCTATTTAAAACTGTTACACAGCCTTCCTACTCGAGGGTAATAAAAGTACAGCATTAACTCTGCTGGAGAGAAAAAGATTCCATTTTGCTTGAAACAGACTCCGACCAAAATCTCACCACCTTCCCGTCAACTAGGAGGATGAGCCTGAACCGACGAGAAGCTCCTTGGAGCCTGTGCTGTAGTCCTAAGAATTAAAACATCCTGCCCCAAAGACCGCAACCAAGACACCACACCGGCTTTAAATCCAAAGCCAGGTCCCTAGAGAAAAAAGCTGCTCTTAAATGTGCTCTCCGTGCTCTCGGGTGCGAGATTCCAGCCCTGCTACTAGGCCACGACTGGGTGAGCACCTGATGTGGGGGGAGGGCGAGCCAAGGCCCTAGCGGATCTGGGTCGGGGAACGGGGGGCTCTCGAGGCTCCCGAGGAGAAGCGCTGCCCCCCTACTAAGGCAGGGGTCCTGGGCCCCCCTCCAGGGGTCGGCACCAAGAACACGTGGGACGTCAGGAAGAAGGAAGGGGTGTCCCGGGCAGACAGCCTGGGTCTGGCACGGCGGCCGGAAAAAAGAGAAAGGAGCTACCCCTGGGTGGGGAACGAAGCCCTCGGGGCCCAGAGGGTGAAGGCAAAGGGCGCGGGGAGAAGGGGCAAGGCCACGAGGAGGGCGGGTCTCCCTGGGCGCGGGGGCACGCGCCGGACTAGGGCGGCGGGACCCGGGGAGCGGAGGGCCCCGACACGCGGGAGGAGATCGCCGACCTGCCCCCGGGGCGCAGGGAGCCAAGAGCGGCCGCGCCCGAAGGGCCCTGTGACCCGCAGCCGCCAGGACCGGACCCGCCCCGCGGCGCCTCCCTCCTGCCTCCTTTCCCTCCCTCACTCCCTCCCTCCCACCCACGGCCCGTTAACCCGTGGCCGCCGCACTCACCAGCGGCTGCACCTGAGCCCGCCGCTGCCTCAGCTGCTGCCTGCGCCTTCGCAGCCGCTGCCGCCGCCTCGCTGCTGAGGCCGAGTCCCGGGGGAGCCTCCGCGTCCCGCCGCCGCTGCCGCTGCCGCCAGAGCAGAACACCCCAAAATGGCGGCACTTCCGGCACCTACCACCGGCGGGGAGGGCCGAGGAGAAGGAGGGGGAGGGCGGTGAGAGGGAACGTACCACCGCGGTGCGGCCCGCAGAGCAGAGCGGAGCAGAACGTGGCGCAGGGGCGAGCGGAGGCGCGGCGCTGCAGCGCCCCCTCGGGCTGGGGAGTGGAGAAGCAGCCGCGCCGAAGCCCCCGGGGCTGCGGGCGGAACCCTCAGGCCGGGGAGCTACAGGAGCGCATCTCTTTGTCTCGGAGCTCTACTGATGGAAAGGGTGGAAAGACCCGGCCTGAGAATCTGAAGTTCTCGGCCCTGAGCACCGTACCCACAGGAGTTCTGGATGACTTAGTGGGCGAGGACCTCTGCTTGGCACTGAATCATGCGCATAATAAAATATGAATGAATGAGTGAATGGACTGGTGCTTGGCCAGGTTTGGGCACATGACACACCCTCCTTCTGCCCCAACAAACAAGCAACGGAATCCAGGCCTCCCTCATTCTTTGCTGAGATGTGGAACGTGAGTGTATATTGCAAGCTTTCTGAGTTAGGGGAGTGCTTTCTAGCGGGTTGATCGGCTGTGTGAACGCACAACCTTGCAAAAATCCCTGCAGCGCCAGGAAGCTCAAAGGGCTCTTATTAAGAGACTGATTGCCCACGGGGCGCCTGGGTGGCTCAGTCGTTAAGCGTCCGCCTGCGGCTCAGATCATGATTCCAGGGTCCTGCGATCGAGCCTTGCATCGGGCTCCCTGCTCGGCCAGGAGCCTGCTTCTTCCTCTCCCACTCCCCCTGCCTGTGTTCCCCCTCTAGCTGTCTTTCTCTCTCTCTGTCAAGTAAATAAATAAAATCTTAAAAAAAAAAAAAAGATTGATTGCCCAGCCCTAGCCTACTTTTCCCAGAAAAAAAATTATTTTTAAATTTTATTTATTTGGGGGAGGGAGACAGGGATGGTGGGGGGGGCACGGGTGGGGGGAGGGGGGGCAGGCTCCCCACAGAGCGGGGAGCCCGATGAGGGACTCGATCACAGGACTCTGTAATCATGACCTGAGTCTTAAGGCAGACGCTTAACCGACTGATCCACCCAGGCGCCCCCCCCCCCAAAAAAATTTTTTTTTTTAATTTGTTTATTTGACAGGGAGACAGCGAGGGAGGGAGCACAGCTGGGGGAGTGGCAGGCCTCCAGCCTAGCACGGAGCCCGATGCGGGACTCGATTCCACGTCCCCCGGATCATGACCTGAGCCGAGGGCAGACGCCCAACGACTGAGCCACCCAGGCGCCCCCCCAAAAAAATTTTTTAACAACGCAAGTTAGGTCCTGAAAGACCTCCTTCAGAGTGACTCAGGAATCCCAAGATCTAGGTGGAATTCAAACCACAACTGTTTGTTGTTTGTTTGTTTAAAAAGGCTAATGCAGGTCCTATATCTTATGTGACAGTGAAATACACATAAAAAAAGAAAACTTAGTTCTGGGACCTTTTGGCCCCAGCAACAGGCAATTAACTCCTAGGGTTGCAAATGATTTCTCTGTAACATCACCTGGCTTCCCAGAGCAAATAATTTCTAGTTCCACAAATACAGATTATACCACACCACAAAAAAAAAAAAAAAAAAAAATAGGGGCGCCTGGGTGGCTCAGCTGGTTAAGCGACTGCCTTCAGCTGAGATCATGATCCAGGGGTCCTGGGATCCAGCCCAGTGTCAGGCTCTCTGCTCAGCAGGGTGTCTGTTTCTCCTTCTGCCCTTCCCCTGCTCATGCTTGCGCTCTCTCTCTCTCTGAAATAAATAAATAAAATCTTATAAAAAAATAAATAATAAAGGCACTCCCAAGCAGAAGCCTCAAGGGTTTCCCTATGTGTTGGAAACACTTCTTTCCTCTTTGGGGGGAAAAAAACTAACCACAGTTTTTCTGGTACTATACAGACAGGAACAATTTGTCCCTAAATTATGCATTATCATATTCCCTAATTGTACCATATAGTTTATGATTTTATATACATTTATAATGCTGATATATGATCTTGTTCTTGTTAATAATTATATGTGTAATTTACTGAAAACATCCTGTTTATAGATCATTACAAATTATAGAATGTTGTCATATACATTACCACAATTAATTTTATATTTGTCTCCCAGCTGCCATAGATTGTACAAACTTTGTAAACAGACTGTCTTTGTGGGCCACAGAATCATCCAGATATGCACCTGGCTCACTTCCTTACCTCCTTCAAGTCTTGACATAAATATCACCTTCTCGTTGGGCCTTCTCTGACCACCTCATTTAAAATTACACATACATCTGGGCGCCTGGGTGGCTCAGTCGTTAGGCGTCCGCTTTTGGCTCAGGTCATGATCCCAGGGTCTGGGATGGAGCCCCCCCCCCATCAGGCTCCCTGCTCTGCAGGAAGCCTTTCTCCCTCCCCCACTTCCCCTGCTTGTGCTCATTCTCTCGCTGTCTCTCTCTCTGTCAAATAAATAAATAAAATCTTTAAAAAAATAAAATTACACATACACAGGGGTGCCTGGGTGGCTCAGTCAGTTAAGCATCTGCCTTCAGGTCCTAGGATCCAGCCCCATGTGAGGCTCCCTGCTCAGCAGGGAATCTGCTTCTTCCTCTGCCCCTCCTCTGCTTATGCTCTCTCTCTCAAATAAGATCTTTTAAAATAAATAAAATAAAATTACACACACAGAAAGACAGAAATAATTAAAATTACACACACATACTCCCATGCTTCTAATCCCCCTTTCCTGCCTTATTTTTATCCAAAGCACTAATCACCATCTAACAGAGTATATTTTATACTTCATATTTTACTTACTTTATTTGTAAACCCCACCCCAATCAGATGGTAAATTCTACAGGAATAGGGACTTTGTTTTATATCCTCAGGGCCTAGAATAATGCCTAACCGTAATAGATGCTCAATAAATACTAGTTTTTAAATTTGACTTACATATATTGTGAAATGGTTACCACAATAAGTTTAGTTAACATCCATCATCTCATATAGATACAAAAAAAGAAGTTTTCTTCCTTGTGATGAGAACTTAGGATCTACTCTTTTAACGATTTTCCCATATACCATACCACAGTGTTAACTATCGTCATCATGTTGCATATTATATCCTTAGTACTTATTTATCTTAGGACTGAAAGTTTATACCTTTTGACCATCTTCATCCACTTCCCCTCCCCCATCAATAAATATTGTTGAATTCATGAATAAGCATATCTAAGTGCTGGGTATGAAAAAAGAGAATGAATTGCTTAGCCTTCAGAAGCTTCCTGGAACCTACCCATGAGTTAGATGAAGGTAGGGATCACACCCATTTTCTTATTCTCTTGTCTCTCCAGGTTTTTGTTGCTTTTTTTCTTCATAGTATCTGACTCAGTAGATATTTCTTGCAGGGCAACCAGAAACTTTTCCCTTTTTTATCTGTCTCTTGACTTATGGCTCCCATTGGCAGAGAGGAACTAACACTTGTTGCAGGGTACTAGTGAGGGCCACAGCCCACCAGCCCAAAGTGGTGGGTGGGTGGAGACCAGTGGGCACGATAATTACATGAAAAGCACAAATAGGCTCCTATAACTTCAAAGGGCTTCAGGGCACAGACAAAATACTAAACAGTCCAAATACAAAAAGCCTGAGATGCAAACAAGTATGAAAAGCTCCCTATTTCACTTAAAGATTTTATTTTTTTTTAAGATTTTATTTATTTAGGGCGCCTGGGTGGCTCAGCTGATTAAGCAACTGCCTTTGGCTCAGGTCATGATCCTGGAGTCCCAGGATCGAGTCCCACATCAGGCTCCCTGCTCAGTGGGGAGTCTGCTTCTCCCTCTGACCCTCCCCCCTCTCATGCTCTCTATCTCATTCTCTCTCTCAAATAAATAAATAAATAAAATCTTTAAAAAAGAAGATTTTATTTATTTATTTGACAGAGAGAGCACAAGCAGGGGGAGTGGCAGGCAGAGGCAGAGGGAGAAGCAGGCTCCCTACAGAGCAGGAGGAGCCGATGTGGGACTTGATCCCAGGACCCCGGAATCATGACCTGAGCCGAAGGCAGTCATTTAACCAACTGAGCCACTCAGGCGCCCCTTAAAGATTTTATTTTTAAGTGATCTCTACACCCATCGTGGGGCTCAAACTTACAACCCAGAGATTAAGAGTCACAGACGCTACGAACTGAGCCAGCCAGGTGCCCTATTTCATTTGTTGCCTTCGAAATTCATTAAATTTGTTTAAAAATAAACAACAAAACAAAAAACAAATAAATAAGTAAATAAATAAATATAAATAAATAAATAATTTTTTAAAAAGGGGTGCCTGGCTGACTCAGTCGGTAGAGCATGTGATTCTTTATCTTGGGATCGTGAGTTCAAGCCCCACGTTAGGCATGTAGCTTACATTTAAAAAATAATAAATACATAAATAACAATAACAACAACAATAATATTAAAGATTAGTTTTTTAAAATAGCCAGTGTTATCAAAGGTGCAAAAAAACAGGCCCTCTCCAAGTGCTGGTGAGAGTAAAGTTCAGATAGTCTGTCTAAATTTGAAATTTTACATACCTTTCTAGGAATTTTTCTTTCTTTTTTTTTTTTTAAGATTTTATTTATTTGAGAGAGAGAGAGAGCACAAGCAGGGAGAGCGGCAGAGGGAGAAGTAGCCTCCCCACTGAGCAAGCAGCCTAATGTGGGGCTTGATCCCAGGACCCCAGGATCATGACCTGAGCTGAAGGCAACAACCAACTGAGTCACCCAGGCGCCCCTCTAGGAATTTTTCTTAAGGAAATAATCATGGATAAGTGCAGAGATGTACCAGTGGTGTGTATGAATCCAAACACTGTTGAAATAGCATAAGGAGACTGATAAAATATCGTATATCCATAGCCTAGAATATTATATATAAGCTCAAACAATGATAGAGGAAAATACAATTGTGGAGAAAATGTTCATGACACATGCTTAGTGAATAAAGCAGGTAGCAAA